CATTTCCACTGTAGCAAAATACAGTGCCTGAAAGCCATTTTGTTACGGTGCTCAACGGAAAGGAGCACAAATTTACGAACCACTCACTTCCCTTTACTAGATCAGTGTCTTACACACACACACACACACACACACACACACACAAACATTAATGCTGCCATGCCAGATCCCCAAATGCTCCTTCAGATAATATACTGGTAGGCCTAAGCTCTTGCCAAATACTTTATAATGCCTGCTTTTGTTCAGATAAATATTCACACTCTCATCAAAGTATCTGTGGGAAAGAAGGAAATGCTTTTAATTCAGGTAACCTTTAGTGGGCTGAGTTAAGAAAGGCGTTCTTTAAATTAACAAGATTTAAGTTTCAGGGTTCTTAAATACTTATGCTGTCTTTCCCAAAGAGCTTTCGGAATATAGGAAAGCATGCTAGAAGCAATCTGGATGTGAGACTCATTTACTGGCCAAACAGATGTCCTGGGCCAATTTAGCAAAAGCTCTTGTTCAACTACCAAAGTTTCACATCAAGGTAAAATCACAGCTCGCTCACCAATTGCAAGTAATTGTTGTTGCTGGTACAACCGTCACTAATGGAATGAATGAATGAATGAATGAATGAATGGCGTCTCCAGATTGTTTTTATTTTTAAAATAACCTGATAGTAGCCCATTTTCAAGCAAGGTTTCTCAAGCTAAGAGAAGTTGCTCACCTCTTCCAGAGACTTACTCAGCCTTTCTATTGCAGTCCTTCAATGCACCAAGTCCAAGCAAGCCTGCTGTTCCCCAAGGCAGCATCAGCAAGCCTCTTCTTGCCCTCCCTCAGTCACCTGCACCAGGACATCAGCCACCCCAAAGCCCAGGCTTGGCCCTCTCAGGCTCGGGGGATCACAGCAGGGTATGTCTCCAGTCAGGAGCCTTTTGAGACAGATGCAAAGGATCGAAAAGGGACGGCCCCTGTGCCACACACGAGGCCACCGGAGCCGACCTGTCTGCTTCCTTTCTTCACCCCTGAACTACCAACACGTCAGGTGTGCAGCAGCTGACAGAGCATTAAAGGAGCTGACTGATGTCAAGTGAAGGGAAACTGAGTGGCCGAACACGAAGAGGCACACACTGGCTACTCTAAGGGACATCTGACATCCAATAATAGGAGGCTAAGATCGTCCACCCGTTCCTAACACTAGCCTCGTCCGGAGTCTCCACAAAAACCCAGATCAGCGGCTGTATCGGCTCTCAGCCTCACAGCTTTTCCCACCCACAGACAGTGTTAAACTCTTTTCCTGTCGCTGCCTTAATATATTTCTGCAGCTCCAGCAGCATTTCAGTTCTGCGTTCAGAAGCATCATTAACCGGTTGCTCATACAAGCACTTCTCAGCAAACGCAGAATAAATGTGTGGGGGGGATGTTCTTCACTGAAAAAGCAACTAGTTAATTTGGCCACCCTGTTGTGTGTGTGTGTGTGTGTGTGTGTGTGTGTGTGTGTTTGGTGGAGGGGAGGGTAACAAAGATTAGCACTGGAGAGCGGATCTTAGAAATAAAGCTTTGGAGCCAAGAGTCGCTTCAGTACAAATGCTTTTCCTCTTCGTCAGAAATTTGACAAGTTGTCTATCATCTGAAATTAAAATGTATATACCAAGTATAACAAACTTAACTGTGTGATAGCTAAGCTACCAGCTGATCCTCTCCGTGACTTTCAAAATGTATGCCCAGAGGATAACTTCACACCAGTGACATTTTCCATTTAAGCCCTCATTAAAAGCCTCAGCTTGGCTCCAGGCAGAATGCAATATTTCTCAGCCTACATTCAGCATAAACCCCGATTAACATTTTATTTAGAAAAAGCTCCGGGAAGGCTTCCCTTCCGTCTTTTATACTCTTGTCAAGAAGATTGAGAGAGAAACACAATGGTCATTTATCCCTAAAATCAAGCTCCTGCTGGTGGAGTAGCTAAAACACTAATCATTTTGTTTACAATTTGTATTCATTTGTGTGGAATTTATAACCTGTCCGTGTTGCTTGAGGTAGCTCAAGGTGAGCCTCTGGACTCTAATCCCTTGTCCCATCAACTGCAGGAGAAGTGACGCAAGCAACCGATGCAACTCGAAGGTTGGCTTCCCCGGTTGCCCCTGCATGCCTGGAGCATCTGCAGAATTCCTGACCTGGCCAGGAACTGGGCAGACGCTCCATCGCCCCTTAGGATGCATCAAGTGGAGGGGCACAGAGAGCAGGGAAAGATAACTTTTCTAGACTTGCTCAAGCCACTAGCAGAGTTCACAGGAATTCTGCAAGGAGGGAAAACGGAGCATGCCACGGGGACACGTGCCACAAAGTCCTTGCCGTTGTCCAAAAGACTCTCCCCAGACTGGGGAAAATGGAACATTAAAATTGCAAGTGCTGGTCATGTAATTGTAAAATATGAGCAAGTGATGCAAATTGGGGGAAATTATGTATATGGTACTGGATCTGAGCAGCAACTGGCTGAGAAAGATTTTGGGACTGTGGCAGTTAGTGCAATGAAAATGTTGACCCAGGGAGCGGCTGCTGTAAGGGACAGAATTTCTGCATCGGGCGTCACTGAGAAAGGAACTGAAAGCAGAACTGCCAATAGTGAAAGGCACCACACTGGGGGGAAATTAGCCTGGCTCTAGGCACAGATTTTATCATTTGCAGAAAAATACAAAAAAGAGTTAGTCAAATGCTATGTTTGCATGCCTTTCCCCCTGAATACGTACAGAAAATCATCTATGCCTTTTCCAGCCTGTTAACAACTATTATTGATTGCCTAAATGTGTAAATGCAGGATCAGCTTGCTTAATCAGTAGCCACCGTACCTTTGGCATGTCCCATTTGAGAATGCATCCTTATTATTCATGGAATGTCACCAGTTCCCCTCAAGAAAAGTGGGTGGCTCTGCAGAGCTACCTAGCGACTTTAAGGCCAGGAATCCCTCCCTAGGGACCTCCAGGCACCTTGCACTAGAGCCAAGGTTACTTAAGAAAGAAACTAAGCCACTTGTGCCAAAAGGGGCATGCAGTTCATTGCATACAATGATGAAATATGAGCGCGGAATATAAACAAGCAAGAGACAGTTTTCGCTCTGCTTTTTTATTCTGGCCAAGCCGCTTCCCTGAATAGGCCGGGGATGCTCCAAGGACCTCCAAATTTGCTGTGCAAGTAACATGTCACCTCTCCCCCCGCACCACCCCCGGCTGAGAATAAAAGGCAACGCCCCTTGTGATGGATTTTATATAAATTTTCTCTCCCCTGCTGTTTCAGAGGCTTTCGGTCCATACAGTATCTAACCCCCCTTCCCGGGACACGGGAGGCCAGGAAACCCCTCCAGCAAGGCAAGCCATTCCATCTCCCACAAAAGCAGCTCTTACCTGCAGAACCACTGCGGCAAGCAGCTCCCTGGTGATTATCCCTTCCTACCAAGTGGAAGGCCATCAGGCCTTGGCGTGGCTCCAGGAAAGTATCCTAGTTTTTGGACACTGGGAAAGTTCACAGCACTAACAGCTGAACCTTAATAAACACCACGCCATTCTTCCAATATAGCCCTTCCCAGACAGACTGCTGTTCTCATCTCAGACTTAGCGAACGCCTTCCCCAACTAGTTTCCACCACGGAAACTAAGATAGAGAGAAACAAACCCAAAAAAACCAAAGACAGAGCATGGCTGCTCTGAAACACCACGCTCCAGGCTGATTCCCCTGCAGGGCAGAGAGCTACGCCACCTCCCCGCATCAAGGCACCGATGACCCCTGAATTGCTCTTCATCTTGACCATCGGCCTCCAATTTTGAAGCCGAGGCACGATGGGCCACTGCAAAATACTGCCTATCGCATACTTTTTTCCACTGGTTCCGCAAAAGGGTTAAGAAGCTCTGGAAAGGAAACATGGATCAGAAAGGAAGACAGTGCGTATGTTATGCCGTTAATATGCGTCGTTAGCATTCAAGAGTGTGGAGAAGCCCTCTAACTTTCCTAACTTTGGCGCAGACGCTTTGAAGGCATGCAGCTGCTTTCATTTACGTTCGCTTCATTTTTGCTCATTATGCCGTGGCAGGAATCGGAACCTTTCCTTGGGGCCAACAAAGTTTGTTATCCTTGTTCTACTGTGCGTTCTGAAGTTAACACACTTTTGAGACACAAAAGAGAGCTTTCCCCAATAGGTAGGAGGGATCTTTCTATAACCCAGGTCAGCACAGGGGTTGGGAGCATCGGCTTGGTCCGCAAGCCAGCCATTGTTTGCAGACCGCACCAGCAACTAACTCCCCAAAGTCTGCTGCTCCGGACGGACAAAGGAAGGGGAGAAGCTGGGTCTTAACTCCTCCCGCGCAGACTTCTGCAAAGGACAGAAACAGTGCAAGACCCCTGCCACTTCTGAAAAAGCTCCATGTGCAATGAAGTCTTGAAGTTTTCTGGCATGCACAAAGGAGGGCGTATGTTCTATGATCGAGGGGCCGTCGGAGAAATTCTCCTTTTTTCCAAATGACTATGGAAATGCTGAGGAAGGGGAAAGGTGAGAGGTGGACCTCAGCAGCTTCTTGAACAGGCAGTGAAACCAGATGCTGATGCTGTCCCTGCCCCCCTTCAATGCCAGAGCAAGCCCCTGTTAAGGTGCGGGCGAAAGAGGGGCCTGCATGTTGCTTTGTGTCTAGCATTCACTGAAAATGTGTTGTGCGTGCGTGGGTATCATTTCTGTCTTCCGCAAAGCAAGCACGAAATGAGACAAATGCCTTTCCTTTTTCGACAATTCAAAGGAATCGGGAGACAGACTTTTGAAGCCCTTGGTCAGCGGGTTTTGCCTTTTCATTGGATGTCAGGTTTCTCCGTTTTCAAAAGCACTCACATTCTCATATTACGAAAGCATATGAATATCTGGCAGGCCTGTTTCCCCGCAGGAAACAATCCAGTTGCATGCTTGGCATCTCTTATGAGAACAGATGCAAGAAACGGACACAGGTCATTTCGGGCGGCAACAGTTCTGTCATTTTGACCCACCTCTCTCCGCCGTGACGCCCAGCAGCTCTGCTTGATCTTCCAAACCACAGCGGCCACAAGGAGCAGGGACAAGAAGCAGCTGAAAGGGAGAGAGGAAGTCAACAGTCCTCACTTGCTTGTGATGCTGGAAAACACGGTCGAGAGACCCCCTGAAATAACACTGTGCTCTCGTGAACTCCTGTCAATTGATGCTAATGGCACATAGGGAAGCGCTTGGCAACATTCAGGGTTCGTGCGCTCCAGGTGACCAGAGGGCTGAGGGAGAGAGGAGTGTGAATGACTCAGCCAGGAAGAGGCTGCCTCACCTGCCATCACCCCTGGAAACATAATTCACTCAAGCCAGCACCTGCCGGCAGCAGGGGTGGAAGGCCCTGCCAATGGCGTCTGTCCCTGAGGCCCACCTGGGAAGCAGCCCTGCAACGTGTGAAAACATGCCAAGGGGATTTTAAATAATGCATGTTTGCGCCATTTCCTTCTTCATCCCAAGTAACGACTTATTTAGAAGACCAGCTGAACTAGAAAATGAGCCCTGCCCATCCCGATTTATGCACTCGCTGCGATTTATGGGCCCCTTCCCTCCCCAAGGCACAGGACAGATTCCAGCCAAATGTTCTCATTCGTCCTCATAAAAAGGGGAGGTCTCTGTCACCCCATTTCTCAGATAGGAATGTGAGGTTGGGAGAGTGTTGTGAGGAAAACCCAAGTCACAACCTCTTGGGCAAGCTAACTTTGAACCTCGCCCAAATCCAACACTTCACCCACTGCACTGCACTGGCCCTCTAATCCCTCATTCATGCTGCGAGAGCATTACTTTGCTACATCTGTGAAAGAAAGACAGAGGTGATCCAGTAGCATTTACATGTTAATGCCTTATCCAGATCTTTCTGTAATTATTCTTGACTCAATTAACTGTACAGTTTGCCCACCCAAAGCTGGCAAAATCCCGTGTTTGTTATCTCAATAACCTTCAAAGGTTTCCCCAACGACGGGTTTATTCCATTTCACAGCCTGGACAGAAAGGGCAAAAGAGTCACTTGCCCAAATATTACCAGAGCAAATGCAAAGTCCATTAATAAAGCATCCTTGAAAACCTTATTCTTCCACACACACAAATTGTGTGTGTGTGTGTGTTAAATAGACAGATAATCTTATGCAAGGCAGACTTTTTATGCGCGTTCTCATTGGATGCTTTCCCCACTGACCTTTCCACAAATAAATGGAAGATCAGACTATTCACGGCTACTTGTTAGGATGGCTCTGCATTATCTCAAGTACTGTAATCAGCGTGCCTCCCAGTACCAGTTGCTAGAGAACAGCCGGGGGAGAGGTACTTGGCCTGGTGGCGGACTGCTGCTCGGACTGCTGCTCGTACCTGGCTGGCCCCGTGGGAGCAGAACACTGGGGGGTGGGGGGGGGGCTTCAGGCAGAAATTCGCGTCCACTTCAATGGTGGTGATGGAGTAAGATATAGGGAAAAACCGTAGACCAAGACAAAAAGAGAGATGCTGCCAGTGCTATCGAAGTCCACTGAGAGGGGAACCAGCTGTGCTTCCCCACGACACGGTGGTGCGGAACCTTCCGCTCGTGCTTTCCTATCCCAAGGCATCTCCATGCCTGCTCTCAGCTGCATTGCCCCCGGTGAGCTCCCTGCAGCGGGCTGAGGGAGTTCTCTGGGATTGCAAGGAAATGAAATGCAAGATCCAGGTTCGCTTACAGGGCGGAACGCTCCGTCTTGCGCACAAAACACAAGTGTGCTCGCTTTCGGAAGAGCTTAGCAGCAAGTCACTTACAATGCACGGCGTGAACCGGACCACAAGGCGGGCCTCCTGCAGCTGCAACGGATGGCCAGTGAGCGCGCCGGTGAGGTGTCAGTGTCCGAACAAAGCGGGGCCGGGCTAGGCACCTCCTCAGCCACTCTTTGCTGCTGATGCCACGAAGCCCGGCAGTGTAAGCAACCCGAAGGTTCTCCACCCCAGCAAGCCCGGCTGCAGCAAAGCAGTACAGGGATGATGCGGAGGCTGGTGGTTCCCCACAGGCACGCGTGCCAGGCTGCCTCGGAAGGCGGTCCTCGTCGCGCTCCTCGGTAGCACACACCTGCTACTCAACGAACTGGTGCGGACGTTCTGGGTGTCCTCTGTCCACCTCCCCTGCTGGGCTGGGCTGGGCCGGCAGGTCGGGGGCTTTGCCCACACGATGGAAGACACCCGCAGCCAACGCCACCAGGGCAGAATAGGAGACGGCAAGAATTGAGCGGCAGCCGCTCCTCTAGTAAGGTATGCCTAGAGCTGCTGGTGCCACATGCCACTTCTGTCCAGTGACTACAGAAGCCTGAAGGCCTGGTACTTCGTGGAAGGGTTCGGGGTAGCAACTCAGGCACCGCAGCTAAAGCCATGGCCAAGTCTTGCAAACTATAACTGGAACCTATCGGTACTCATGGAATTCCTAACCCCTCGGACCTCAGTTACCATAAATAACTGTCATGCCTTCATCTCGGGATGCTGAGCTCCGTGCCAGGAGAGGCCGAAGCCTCCTTCCCTGGTTCATCCTGGAGGACCTTACAAATAAAAGTATTTGCCACACAAAATACTAAGAGAGAGCCTCATTCTCCTGCATGCAAGAAGTTAATACCAGTTAGAGGAAATACCGAGGGACAACTGCAGTCTAACACTCTCTGTACATCCTTGGCACCCCTTCTTTATCCTGACTGGCTTACTGCTGGCATGACTCACTTCTCTTGCAAAACACAGAATGGCCAAAAAGATAAAGCAAAATAAAAAAAACTGCACTGCGTGCCTGTTTCGGAGCACACAGCAGCTAGGGAACACAAGAGAGCCTGCATATCTCCACTGGGAAAGCAAAGCAAGCTTCCATTGTGACTGCTATTTCACCTTCATCAACAAGGCCCCCTGGCAGCCCCTCTCTCCCTCCTGGGGCACAGCGACCATTTATACTCCTTAACATATTCTGTGCTCAGACAGAAACTCTCTTGTTAACCCTTTCTTCAAACTTCTAGTTCAGCCTTTCCTCGACACCTTGATTCTCTGACTCAGGAAAGTTCTGTGGGATATCCAGCCGCTATTTTCTCTCTCCAGCACCCTCAACAGCATGGTGTGCTTCTGCAGCAGATGGCATATGCTTTTCTATACTGTCACAAGGAGGCAGCAGATCCCTGTGAGTGTCGAAGGCCCAAACGGTAGAGCTCTTTTCACTACAGGAGGTCTTTCACCAGCACACCTAGAAGCAGTCGGGCCTGCTGGGCAAGTTACAACCCTGAAAGCGCCAGAACTCCGAATCCCAGTGCTCAACCTACACGTCAGCTTAAGCATTCTGAAACGGTGCACCATATGAACACCGGTTCTCAGCTTCCATCGCACCCGAGTGTGATCAGCTGTGCCGGCAGCAAGTCAAGGCGAATGCGCTCAGGAACCTCCTCGGTGCGCAGTGCTTCCCGGTTTGGCAGGCCTGTACTGCAGGACAAATTCTAAGGAGTAAAACTCCCCATGCACCTTGAACCTGGCGGCAAGGCTGGGATTAGTCTCCACCACAGCGCCCTACGTGCACCCCCTCGGTTCTAGGTCTACAGGAATGCATGCAGCTGCCTCGCACCCATTCAGACCGATCGATCAGGGCTGTCAGCACGGGAGTAGTGGCTCTGCGGGGCTTCTCACAGGACTCTGGGGAGGTGCCAGGGATGGAGCTCAGCGTGCTGCGAGTGAAGTGGAGAGTGGCCAGGCCTCCTGCTGACCAACGAATGGTGGGAGCAGGTGTGGAGCAAAGTTCCCCGGATAGATTTACATGGCGGTGCAACTCTGGGAAACGTGTTGAAGGCTTCTGGGAAAGACCCCTGTGGATTGCCATGTGCTGCAGAAGTGAAGCAGAAAGGGCCGAATGAGCAGCCAAGGACCTTGGGGACCAACTTTGATGCCACTTGTGTTATACGTCTTCCTTCCCAGGGCAGCTGCCCTCTCCACAGCCCACCAAGCTGCTGCCGGCACCCTGAGGCGAGACGATGGCCCTCCCGGCACTCGGGCCTCCCTTTCGAAGCCACGTGCCCTGAACCTGCCAGGCGGCTGTCCAGCGCCACCAGGCGTGCCACCGGGAGTGTGACTTGATGAGAGGCACCATGCGCAGGGAGCTGACCCACCCCTGGTGCTCAGAGGGTGCAGGTCCCACACACTGGCCCTCCCCATGGGACGGGGGAACACGGGGCACGGCTGAGTGTGCCTGCCTTGGGAAGCGTGAGGAGGGCGCTGGCGGCAGAGCCACCGACCACCAGCTCGGGCCTGCCCAGTTCCAGCCGCCCTGGCCCACTAGAGCTACGAAGTCCATCCACTTCAGCAACGGCCGTCCTCCAGGAGGGCAGAGCATGAGGCCTGGAGCTGTGCGGGTATGTGCAGGTATGTCGTCCATGGACAGTTTTCTGGGCATGTGCACAGCATGCTGCCTTATTTGAGCCACGAAGCAATCAGTATTGGACATCCCTTACAGACGTCAGCACATCTGCGACTGTGTAATACAAGTTGCGTTACTCATATTATTTATACAGGGAAACTAATAGTTAGAATGAAAAAGTACCTGAAGAAGGTGACAAAGAACTGTACCAGGTCCATAAAGTTACTGTGCTGCGAAAATGCAATCTGCAAAGAGAAAAATAAAAATGTTTAACGCTGTAATTCAGAAACATCGGGTGGAAGTTAGCTACAAGATGCCAGGGCTGCCATAAAGTCCTTCTTCATTAGCTAACGTCACCACAGAACCCACCCTGATACAGTGGCACTTCACTCACAGATTGAACACTCGGCCTTTGCGCCACGGAGCCCATGCTTGCAACACGCGAGATAATAAAATGTTACGTCATGTTGGAACTACCAGTAGTACAGCAGCATCATATACACGGACCACTTAGAACTGTGAGCACAGGTGACAGAACATCACTTCTCCATCCCACGAACACACACTCGGCACATAGAAACATAGAAACAGAGCAAGTCAGAAGGGGTCTCCCGGGCCATCTAGTCTGACCCCCGGCTCCAGCCAGCTCCACTCACGACATGCCCACCATGTGCACGTCCAGCCTATCCTCGAACACCCACACCGATGGGGCCTCAACGACCTCCCGAGGAAGCCCAATCCACGCCCTCGGGGTCCTGACTGTCAGGAAGTGCTTCCTGGCATCCAAATGAAACCTTGGCTTCCTGAGCTTTGCTCTGTTGGAGCGCATCCTGCCTTCCTCTGCAGGGGAGAACAGGTCTCTCCCCACCTCTGTGTGACATCCCCTCACATACCTGTATGTCGCCAACATATCCCCTCTGAGTCTCCTCTTCTTCAGGCTGAAGAGACCCCGTTCCCTCAGTCTCGCCTCATACGGCATCCCCTGCAAACCGGCCACCAACCTTGTGGCCCTACGCTGCATTGACGCCAACCTGGCTATATCCTTCCCGTAATGGGGGCCCAAAACTGAGCACAATGCTCCAGTTGTGGGCACACCAGAGTCATGTAGAGTGGTAGTAATACCTCTCTCAATCTAGAAGCCACACTTCTGGCTATGCAACCAAGGGTGGCATTCGCCCTCTTGACCACCGCATCACACTGCTGGCTCACGTTCAGCCTGCAGGCGACCAGCACCCCGAGGTCCCTTTCACAAGCGCTGCTCTCCAGCCACTTGTCCCCTAACCTGTGCTTATGACACCTATTCCTATGCCCCAAGTGCAAGACCTTGCACTTATCCACATTGAACGCCATCCTGTTGTCTCCTGCCCACGTCCATAGTCTGTCCAGATCCTTTTGGATCTGGAGTATCTGCTCCTCAGTTGTGGCCACTGCTCCAGTTTTAGTATCGTCTGCAAATTTGATCAGCAGACTGTTCACCCCTTCTTCCATGCCATTTATGAAAAGATTAAATAGGATCAGCCCCAGGACAGAGCCCTGGGGGACCCCGCTTGTCACTGGCCGCCATCCTGATGATTCCCTGCTAATGGTTACCCTCTGCTTTCGGTCAGTCAACCATGCCCTAATCCACCGGACAGTGCATTGGTCTGTCCCAAAACTCCTCAGTTTCTCCACCAGGGTATCATGGGGCACTTTGTCAAAGGCCTTGCTGAAATCCAGGTATACCACATCCACTGCATCCCCTCCATCTAGCCATCTCGAAACCTTGTCAGAGAATCCCACAAGGTTTGTCTGGCAGGACCTGTTTTTGCGGAAGCCGTGTTGTGTGGCACGACTGAGCACTAATTCTTTGGCACTGCTCTACAGCTGATTCTGAGAGATCAGTATCTTTATCATCATTTCAGCACAGCACAGAAGAACACTGAGGTTGTGCAGTGACTAGAAAGCCAACCAACAGCTCTGGGTTCTAGACTCAGAATACTTCCATAGGGAGGCCAGCATCAAAAGCCTGCTCATACCTGGGGAGCAGCACCTGCAGAAGCAGCCCCTTGCAGAATCTTCCATGAAAGAAGAGCCAGACCCCCCTGAAGGGGCCGAGCTTGCTCCACATGCAACCTCCAGTTATAGGATTTTACCAGCATGCCCCTGGGGAAGACCCTCTGCTCCTGTTGACTCGGCACTGCCACCATCCAACCTCAGAGGTGGCACACGCCACAGAAGCAAAGCCTGACACTTGTAAGTGAGAACTGAGGCAGATGGAGCCCAACAGGTCCTTCAGCCATACACTGTGGGGCGAGGGGAGTGGGCTTCGGGCCAGGTCTCCGTGATGCCTGGTGTGGGACGTGCCTGTCCAGGGGGAGCTACCTGCTGGGACACCAGTTCTGAATCTGAGGGGGAAATGGAGTCTGTCATGGGAAACCAGAAGCCTGGGGGTTGACTTCTGCCAGGCCTTTTGCTGCTGCGCAAAATGGGATGCAGGACCTGATGTGGCCAACCGTCCACAGTGACCTTGACAGGCCCAGCTGCTCAACCAAGGACACCTTGTAAGAGAACAGAGCGCCAAGGGAAGGGGCTCTGGGGAGTGTCCTAAGAGGTGTCATCAAGTGAAGAGAGTAGATCAGAAGCATCCACGTGGCGGGGGCGGGGGGGGGGCAGCATGCACCCATGAGCCAGGTTCAAGCCTAATTTTTAGCAGCAACTAAGGACGGCCAGCAAACTCCACGAGGGATTCAAGGCACTTTGTGTTTCTGGGATCCGTCCTATGGATTCTGTGGGAGACTGGCTTTTCCCTGGGCACACAGGTTCCTTGGGTCTGTGGACCAGTCTTTTACTTTCCAGAACTCTGTGCAAATGGAGTCAAAGACAAAAATAGTTTTCTAAACAATTAAAAGCTCATTCCCTCCTATAGACGAAAGTGAGAACATGTGCACTTTGTGAGGATCCGCACAGGTGTGCCAGTGCACGTGTGCAGAGGTGCGCCACAGTGCAAGTTCCGAGAACCAAAGAAAGGAGAATGAGAGGTTCCTGACAATCCATGAAATGCAGACAGAACTGATGCAACAGTCCCACCTTCCCCACGGCCGGCTCCCCTATATTTAAAGCAGAGCGAGTGGCAGCACAGTTTGCTGGCAATGACGGCTTTGCGACCCGGAAAGCTCCCTGGCTCGGCTGGAACTACAGACTCACTCGGATGGATGCTGCGTGCCGAACACAAGACTGAGTCTTTTGCCGAGATGCTCGTCCTGGTCAAGGAACTGCATTATAAGCTGTTATCTGCGTGTCTTTCCTGGGGCTTGTACAGGCTTAGAGTCCGTTATTAGGATTCCTGCAATAAAGGGGCTGCTGGGCCTCGTGCCTCCGCATCGGGCTCAGGTGTGGGTCTCCTGGTGCGGGCGCTAGGAGGGAGCCCTGGCCTTCTTCCCAGTGTGCGAGGTAACAACACACCCGCCACAAATCAGACTACCTCAGAGAGGGGAGCCTGCCCACTGCATGAACTCTGATCAGCCCAGCCATCACAGCCCGTGGTCATGGAAGGTGCAATTGCGGCCCAGCAACCGGAGGACAGTTTCTTATGGATGCCAACTGGACAGCTATCAAAAACCCACCAAGGAGACGCGAGCGCTGGAGCAGCCTCCTGCTGGTTGCCCAGTGGGCACTGGGGGGCCGCCCCCCTCAGACACTGGAGGCACTGAACAGCCATCGGGACTAGCGGCTCAGGATGGCATCGTCCTCCATGAATCCGCCTACTCCTCCAGTTCTCCGCCATCACTGCTTCTTGGCACACCACATGGCCTCCTGGGCCGATGCAGTGCCGCCGCAGCATATCCTTAACTCTTGCCAGCCTGGCACTCTTAGCAAGGGGCCCGCAAGCGAGACGGCAGCTATCCACAGTCACGGCCCTTCGCCTCTAGGCAGAGGCCTCTCCGGGAGCTTCCGGCAAGCACAAGAAAGCGCCACAAGCCCTGTGCCATTTTTCTTCCCAACAACTGCTGCTCTTGCAGCATTCCGTGGCGGCGGCTCTCCCCGCCTGGATGCAGCGTGGAAGCAGGCTAGCCCTTCCTTGCTCTCCGTGTGAAGTCAGCACAGGGTTGGTAACTCAAAGCACAACTGGAAACACAACGGAGAGGCGTTGTGAAATGCAGAAGGAGAGACTGAAGGCTATTTAAGGGACGCAGGCGTCTCGTTTATTAATTTAAAATCCTGGCATTATATTTTGCATAGTTCAGTTGACAGAAGGTTTAAAAGCATCTTCACACCCCTTTCAACAATGGGAATGGTTAGCCATTATCTTGAACGTTACAGTACTTCTAAAAACTAGCATGTTGCATATTTTAACAGACTTCGCCTCCTCTCTTAATCACAATGTTAATTGATCTGACTTATACACACCAGATCCCAAACGCTTTAACAGCCGTGCTGATGTGGACAGTGGATCCCCCTTCCCCCCTTCCACACACACACACTCTTAAACCTTACTGTCATCAGGGCAGTTATTACGGTATTTCTTTACATTTCAAGATTTAAACAAGAACACAGAGCCAACAAATCTAATATAAATGCATAAGCTGTCACTTCTTTTATACAAGACAAAATTGATTTCCGATACAATCCTCTTTCAGAACCCCACCAGCAAATGCGCAACAGATTCGCTCCAACTTGATGGCGTGTAAGTTTTGTTCAGCCCCGTCAGAGCTCAATACCATCCATTCTTGTTTAGACCAAAGGGGCACATATGCTGACACACACGTACATCTGTGAGAACTCACATTTGCCTGAACTTGAGTTCGCGGAAGTAGCTCGAAACATCAAAAGCAGATGCACGGTAACATGTTACCAGGGAGAAGAAGCAAGGAGCGGAGCGGAGCTACTTCAGAAATTGCAAAGAGGAGCTCCGCATCCATTCCTTCTGCAACTGACATGTTGATTTACAGTAAAAGAGCAGTAACCAACACCACCAATGGCATGGAGGCTAATATTTCAAGTTATATGTCTGTATATTTCGTTTCATCAAATTAGAGAACAAGCCAGGTATTTGGAATCTGGCTGTGCAAAAAGGGCTTCAAGGGCTTTCTGGTTCCTATTTCAGAAAAACGGAATGCCAAAACAAATTAACACACCACACAAAAGTGCACAGAGACCCACAAGGTCGAAAACACCCAGACTTTCCAGACAGATAAAACAAACAGAAAAAACACCATGCATGCCTTGTATGAAATCCTTCTGTTTTATTCCCTGCCACTTCTATTTC